TTGCTAATTCTGCTGTTAAGAAAATTGGTTCTCTGTGTTTTTTTCACGCTACAATCTATCTTACATATTTATAAATTATATTTATAAATCTACCATTCGTATTTGCTTTGATTATAACTGTTACATATGGTCTGGTGTTCCTGCTATATATTTAAAGATTCTGTATAAAATTCAAAGAAGTATCTCCAATGTTATTAATCCTGATCTGGCATTTCGGTTTCAGTCCTTTTCCCACTGCCATAACGTAGATTCCCTGGGCCTATAAATACTTTCATGGTAATTGTTCTGATGGTAGCTAGAATTTATGAATTTAAGTGCAGTACTAGATTGGCAGCTAAGTCTCATCATTTTACAGTTGAAATGGTCACATGTAACCATAATTTCTATGCTAACAGTTTCTTCTCCCGCACTTCTTACTTGTGGATTTCTCTACTGGCTTTTTGTTTCCCAGTTAACTTTGAAATTCAAAAATGTAAATACAATGTCTTATCTTTGTCTACTTAATTCTTGTCCTTTGTTTTCTCTCTCTTTAATAGTATTTTCTTCATATTCTCTAACACTCAATAACCGCTTGCGTCTTAGTGGCTTTATTGCCTTTCTCGGGGTGAAATTATTAAAGAAAGGTTTCCTCTGGTTGAAAGATTTGGGGTTAAATCGTTGTAAACGGGACAAATAATTCGTTCAATGTCATATTTTCAAATTATTTCTGCATTTCCTTATTCTTATGATTAAAATCCTGCAAAGGGTTGATAAGCTATAAAAAACAAATAAATTAATCAGTCACTCATATCATGAAAGAATCGATTACAAAATTTGAATGCAGGCGTTTCCAAAAAAAAAAAAAAAAAATGAATTGCTAGATTAATGTAATATTTCTGTTTGCAATTTTTATTTATCTATTTTTTCAAACGAAATTTAGAAATTATGGATAATTTTTAAATTTTTTAATATTTTTTATATATGAAAATGGGACAGATAGATAGATAGATAGATAGATAGATAGAAGGTTCTTGGCCGAAAAGTTTTCAACATTTTCATGTTTTTAATAGTGATTTGAATAAAAATAAGCGAATCAAAATGTTTTTGCAAAAGACTTGGCGGCGCCCATCTCTTTCTAACTCTAACCCTAACCAATATATATGTGTGTGTATGTGTATGCATATATGTAAGTGTGTTTTATCACTTTAAACATTAATTTTAGTGGTTATCACAATGTTGGCACAGTTACTAGAATTGCAGTTTTTTTTAATTTAAAAAAATATTTGGCATTTAAAATAAACGAGATTTGTATATAGATGTAAAAAAATATTATTTTAGTGCATAAAGGGAGAGTACTTGTTCTTTTGAAACAAACCGCAAATTACATTAAAAATTAATCTGGATCAACGTATTTATTTATTTTTAGGCCTACATGTAACCATCACTTCATTTCTCTTGTTTAATAAGCTAGAGTCAGTTTAAGTGCCTTAAGTTTTTCAATAAGACATAAATTATATCTATTTCCTTTCCCGTTATATATATGTGTGTGTGTGTGTGTGTATGTGTGTGTGTGTGAGTGTGTGTGTGTGTGTGAGAGAGAGAGAGAGAGAGAGAGAGAGAGAGAGAGAGAGAGAGAGACGTGAAAAAAAAAGACGGAGAGAGGAAAGGGATAGAGAGACATCTAAATATATTTTTCTGGAACATTGATATTTACCTGCGTATTGAGAATATCAGAAATCAGAAATAATATTTTCTGTTTTATACGAACATGATGTTATGTCAGAGATAGATAGATAAATAGATAGCGAGAGAGACAGAGAGAAAGATATAGAGAGTGAGTTCCGTTAAGTCAAAGTGGTGAGAAATAGAATATTTCAAATGGCCGCCTTGAAACTCATTCACCAGGGAGAAGCAAAATTCACGATTATCTTAACTAAAGCACAAACACACACATATATATTAATACACAATAAAATCCCAAATCATCTATATGGGGAATAAGCTTATTTCGACCGACGAAATCTACTTGGATTTATTACCGTTACTATATATATATATATATATATATATGTGCGCGCGTGTGGTAGACGTCCAGAATCGAAACCCGACAGAATTGGTGTCAGTCGGAGATTCTACTTCTCAGCCATTGGCGCACGGCAGGGATGAAGGTGAATTTAAGCGTATTTATTTTTTAGATGAACACACAGTGGCTGAGAGAACTCGATTCGCTTTACCGAAGAGTCTTGCATTATTAGCAGTAACAGTCACTGTTTATAAACTCACACTTCCTCCCCAGAGAACTCAACTGAAATAAATTTAATAGATATAATATATAATATATTTGACACATCGACCTTTATTCTACCATTGTTTCTAACAGAATTGTTTTATCACGCAGACTTCCTGATGAAACCATTCTGGTAGATACCGTAGTAGCAGAAAGGTCGGTGTTTCAAATATTTTATATCTTAAATTGTCCTACATTTTCGTTTTATGAAAAATTGTACTGATCACTTTCTTTTTGGCAAATATTACTTTTTACCAAAAAATGAATAATATATATATATATATATATATATATATATATATATATATATATATATATATATATATATATATATATATATTTGTGTATTTGGGCAACAATCCTTCTTTAATACATATTTCGTTGAACAAGATTGACAAGATACTTTTCTTTAGTTTTTATTAGGTTTTTCTTCTATACTTACAAGTGTCTTTTTTCTGGACTCAATGAATGTAAAAACTGTCCAAAATTTTGTTGTTTTGAAAAATTTCGACTAAATTGTTAGGCATTTTAAAAAGATGATTATTATTTTTTTTATACTACTATAATTAAGACGAGTGACACTACATCTCTCCGACCAAAGCTTAATACGTACAAATTTAAACCATCAAGAAATTGTAGCAAACTCAATACACAACATACTCAGTGGATTCATGAATGTTATACGTACCTTATACTGCAAAAGCTGATGAAATCCCTTAAAAAACAAGAAATCAACCCTTAATATATTTAATTATGAACACGGCCACAATGTACTGGCCGTATTTTGAAATAAAGGATATATCTAATTACAACAATTTTTATACCGTCTACATTAGCAATTACACACTATTAGAGTAGTATAATAAAAATAAATCCTTGAAGGGGGATAACAGTTTAATCCAGAACGTTTCGATCTAACACACCTTTGGACAGTTTTTGCATTCGTAAAGTTATTAACTCAACATTACAGTTATATATAATGCAAAGTTTGTGCGTGTGTCTAGTCGAAACTGTGAAAATTAAACAAACATTGTTATCTGTCCATGTGTGTGTGTGTCCAAATCTGACAAAATTGTAGATCAAATCAATTTGGTTTGGGATTTATTCATTCATTCACTTCAATTAAATAGGACACAAGGCCAGGTTTAACGTGGAAGCCCGGTGCATACTTGGAACAAGTCAAAAATAGTCCACGCCGTTCGACATATGCCTTTTGCGGACGTCTCAAGCGCCAGAGCTTAACCCTTAGGGGGTTTTTGCCCGGAGTGAGGGCCCCGCTGGCAATGAACTTGATAATAATGAACTGATAGGAAATGCGCCACTCGAACGGAAAATGGCAAAAAGCCGAGTTTAAAATAGGAGAGTCCCACGCATACCTGGAGATAAAAAATAATTTAGGTTTCTTCTTTTTATCGTTTGGGCTGACTGTCCTATTACGATATGGATGATCATGACTCTCCACAACCTCCTATCGCTTACAGCTTTTGTCAACGTTTGTTCTTTTCCAAGTCAACATCCCGTTTCGCCATCCATTCGCACAAGCCCGTGAGGTGCCTTACCCCCGCACCTTTTTCAGTCGATATGTCTTGCGAGTGTTAAATTCTCCAAACCGCCCTTTCTCTTTATGCCTCCCAGAAATTTCTGCTGAGTTTTAATGATTCTGAGCATAAGTGTCCTTTTTTTCTTTCCATTTTCCTGAAGACTTCTTCGTTCCTTAAGCGCTGCGTCCATGGCATTCTCAGACTAAAGTGGAGTAAAAAAAATAGTCACACTTTTCGGCATCAGCCGTTTGAGGACGCCTCGGGTGGTAGTGATTATGACCTCCACCACTTCCAGGAAGCGAACTTAATAATAAACACTGGATAAGAAATACACTTTTTTCATGTGATTTATCCGTGCGTCGACTGGAAAAGAATATGGCACAAGGCCATGTTTAAAGTAAGCATTTCCCGAGTACATGGAAGTAAGCACGAGAATTGCTCAAATTCCTTTGACCTTTCCCCGTTGGGATCCTCAGCACACACACACACAGAGAAAGAGAGAGAAAGGGTGAAAGAGAGACGGCAAGAGAGATAAAAAGAGAAAAAGAGAAAGAAAATGTGAGAGAGTGAGAAAGAGAAAGAGAGATGGCGAAAGAGATAGAAAGTGAGAGAGAGTGAGAGAGAGAAAGAAAAAGAGAAAGAGAGCAAGAGAAAGGTAGAGAGAGAGAGAGAGAAAGAGAAAAGGAGGGAGAGAGAGAAAGAGATAGAGAGACGAGAGTGAAATAGATAGATAGATAGATAGAGAGAGAGAGAGAGAGAGAGAGAGAGAGACGGTCGAAATATCCTGACGCATTGTCAGCGGAACGCGAACAATCTACTCTGATAGATTGAATAAAGGGTTCAGTTCGAAATTCCTTGAAGGTTACCCAGATCAACAAGCACCTGAAGATGGCCAGAGAGCTTAGCAGCAGATAACTTCCGATAAAAAAATGAGAACATTCATCTGAATGTAAATAATATAAATAAAACTCCTAATCACAGAAATTCAAACATTTTTTTTTATTAAGTTAATTAAATTGTTTATTTCGGGAGTTGACCGTTGATAACACAAGACAATCTAAAAAAAAACAAAACAAAAGGTGACATCTTGTATAAGAAGGAGTGGGGAGGACTATATTTCTAAATTTGGGCCAAGTTTCATTCAATATATTGATGAACAGGGTAAACATAATTTTATCAAAGTAGAATAGAATATGTCGATAAAAAAATACCCCCCCAAAAAAACAAAAACAAAAAACAATTGTTATTTTTTCACTGTAAACGACTTCTTTCTTTCTTTCTTTCTTTCTTTCTTTCTTTCTTTCTTTCTTTCTTTCTCGTTATCTTTCTTTCTCTCTTTCTCTCTTTCTTTCTTTCTTTCTTTCTTTTCATATAATTTTTTCTAGGTTTGAATTTTCGGTTTTTCTTTCTTTTTCTTTTCCCATTTTTCCTTCACTTTTACTATTTCTCTCTCCACCAATACGTTCTTACTTAACCCACAACCTCACTCCACCGGCCCTATCTTCATTCATCCTCACCACTTTCATAGGCTTCCTCTTTCGTCCTCTCGCCACATCTGACCCATGCTGAGCCGACTCCCACTCTCCATATCTTCAGCCTATCCTTATAAACCAATCAACAAGTCCCAATATTCCGCCTATCCCCCAACTTTGATGGCTCACCCGACATTGATCAATTAGATTTGCCTCCTGCACTGCTGGGCTCCTTCTGCGTCGGCGAATTCGCGACCTTTGATCAAACGATTACACGATGAGATACCGGTCGCCAGGGGGCGCTAACTAATCTCAAGTGCTTACCGTGCCAACAGCGTGATTACTGTCTTCCAACGCGTGTTTTGTCTCTCCTTCCTTCCTTCCTTCCTTCCTTCCTTCCTTCCTTCCTTCGTAGCATCCTTTTTCTTTCTTTCTTTCTTTCTTTCTTTCTTTCTTTCTTTCTTTCTTTCTTTCTAACGTTTCCCTGCTTCGTTGTACAGGTAAAGGCATGCTCTACAATTGTCATGGAGACAAACTAAATTCGATGGATCGTGAAAGACTGATCAACTGAGATTGATCAATGAGAAAATAAAATAATCGATAATAAGGCTAACAGTCGGAGGACGATGTAGATATGCGTGTGAATATACATAGACATGCGCAGATTGAGATCGGGGGTGGGGGTGATCAATCAATCTTTATTAAATTAATTGCAGTTTGAAATAACAATAGAAAATTCTCGGGGAATTAAACCTGCCAAGAACTGGCAGTTGTTTCTCTTATAATTAAAATCCTCAAAGACTGGTCCGTGGTATCTGATTAAATTTTCCACAGACTTTTTGAGTTTGTTTTCATTATCGAAGTTTTTTTCAGTTTACTAAATATTTGTAAAATCTATGATACCTTTGGGTAACAATGCCTAAACATTGAGTTCTGGTGTTTCTTTTTGATTAATTTTACTTCTCTCTTGGATTTTAAGAATTTCAAAATGTTTTTTTTCATTTGTTTTTTTTTTATTTTTTCTCTTTCCAATTTTTCTTTCGCAGTTGTTTTTTTTCATTTTTCTTCTTTATCTTTTCTTTCGCGTGTTTATTTATTTAATTTTCATTTTTTCTTTCTTATTTCATGTTCGCTTTTTTCATTTTTTGTCTTTCTAATTTTTTCTTTCACGTTTTTTCATTTCATTTTCATTCTTTCTTCATTTTTTCTTCTTTATTTTTCATTTTTTCCTTTTAATCTTTTCTTTCGCTTTCATTTCTTTTTTCATTATTTTTTTCTTTCACGTTTTTATTCAATTAATTTTCATTTTTAATTCTTTATTTTTTCTATCGAGTTTTTTTAAAAAATTTTCTTTCGTGTTTTTCATTTCATTTTCTCTTGAATATTTTTTTTTCACTTTTACTTTCGTCTCTTTTCGACAAAAAAGCATTTCATGTTTTCTGTCTGAATTTCAAGGATGATCTTATATTATTTTCGTTCAGACTAATAACCTCATTTTTGTTGTTATTATCACAATGTTTTAGCATTTGTACCTTCCGGTGTATGTCGATCAGTTTGTATCGTACAGCATGATCCTCGACCCGCCAATGACTACACCACGTGTTGCCTTACAATTCTTGTTTATGCCAGTGCGCACCAAAAAATTGGATAAACGGTAGATGGAAACAAAGGCCACATCGAGAAATGATAACACTAAACCTGTTTCCAATATTCTGCTATGTCGAACTAACTGATCAGCTCTTTCCCCCTATCAACTCCATGCCCCCACCTTAGACATTCCGACGTGTGGCATCGAAATTACGCCAAGAATAGTCTGTCCTCCAACATGAACGAACCAGAAAAGGCTTCCTCGATCACGACTGTGACTTTCATATCGACCAGCAAACGGATACGCTCTATGTTCGTTTTTGTTGTCACTTGTTCTCAAAACACCTCCCATCCACTCATTTACTCTTCCGTTCCCTTCGGTGAAAATGGATGCCACAAAGAAGGCTTCAAAGAACCAATTCGCCGGCTATGGTTTGTGTATCAAAACCATAATCTTACACAATAATCATCAGGTAATTTCGAATTAAACACTTTATATAATCTACGGAAACAGATTGTCCTCGTTTCACTGTTCATGTTTAGTGATATCCCCTCATGTTCTATTTTGAGTAGTGCTCAATTATTGTTTCCACTGTTTCCACTAAGTATGCTCTATCTGGCCCAGGGATTGAACTCACAATAACCATGTCACTAAATTCACGCTTTAATCCACTATGGTTTATGTTTCTCTTAGAATTTGATTCGTCTCACAGTCGAAGTTTTTCGTTTATTTTAAAAAATAATTGCCATTTTTGTCATTAGTTTTTTTCTTTGTTCGATTATATATTTCTGTGTTAATTAATCTCCTCCCAATTTATGACCACCCCGAAGAGGGACAATCTTTCCTCTGGAGTATAGCGTTTGATTTTCATTTTATAGATTTTTACTATAATTAATTCAGCTCATTACAATATATCTATCGCAAACTATTCATATCTATCTATCTATCTATCTATCTATCTATCTATCTATCTATCTATCTATCGTATTTGTAGTATATTGACAGTATCTGTTATCTATCGACACGATTTGCCCGATGGTTTAAATTGGTGCGGTATTCCCATAAGTGCCAATGTCTGGTATTGGAGTCTGTCCAAAAGACAACATTTCAAATACTGATTTACATGATAGCCAGATTTTTCTCTCTTTAGGAGTTTGTCCCAAACGCAACAACAGGCAAAAGAGAATTCTTTTGGTCAACCAATATTTAAAATTGATTAGCGTTGATGAAGAGTCTCTTGAATATTTTCTGTTGAATTGTAGGAAAAACACACAGAAAGGAGTCAGTCATCTCATACACCGGTAATTTTGGAGTAAATTGAACTGAAAAAAATGATTATGGAAGCCTATTCGATTGAATTATGAAAAATAAAAGTATTTGAAATGACACCACAAATATTTGCCCGATATCAACTGATAATCAGAGTTAGAATTTGAGGAGTAATATATTTTGCAAAATATTCACCAAATTCGTAAAATTCTTTTTTGTTTATTTTCTGCTTTTGTATGTATTCTTTTTCCTCATTGAAGTAACGGTATTTTCATCTCTGTTGTTAATTATTCCCAACCACCTAATTCCAATTCAACTCTAAGTCAGCACGATCAAAGAATCTATTCCAGAAGGAGTCTAAGAGCAAATAAAGATCTTTGCCCATTATCCTGTCTTACTGCTTAAACGGAGGTTTGAAAATGATGCCCTCACTCTGCAAATGAAGCAACATACTTGTCCCATCATCAAACATTTCTTGCGTGAAGAGAAGCCGGAGGGTAAAAGACGATGGAGGAAGGAGGTTGTATTTATCAAAGTGTAGCCAATAGATAAGATAGCTATATAAATAGTCAGATTTTATAAAAACACCTGAGCTCTGATACATAAAAGATAAAACAGAAACTAAAAAAGCCTGACGAGAGTGTAAATAAACATGGAAATATTTATAAACCACATTTCTTATCGGTTCATAAAATATTGATTAGCTAAAAGCATGTTTTTCGGAGTTACTTTTATCTTTCTACATCTACAGAGGATGTATGGGTAAGTGTAAGGGTTAACAACTCGGAAAGACAAACCGGCTAACGGAGTTCGAATTCTGGCCGAATTCGTTGTTTACTTTTGCACAAAACCCATCGAGAAAGGTATGCATCCATTTCTACTCTCCCCATCTATGGGTTAAAGAGTGAAGGCTTGACTGGAATTCCTAACCTTATGGTGGTAACCAGTTTTGGAGAAGGAAAACTGAATTCAAACTAGCCTGAGACACACCCAACAACTACAGCATATGCCCCTACGAATCTAATGGGTTACAGGAAATGCAGCGTGACATCTTCGGCATTCTGAAAAGTGGATGTGAAGAAATATTTAAAATATATATATATATATATATATATATATATATATATATATATATATATATATATATACAGGGTGTCCATAAAGTTCGTGTGCAATTTAAAATACTAAAATACTTAAATTAAATTGCACACAGACTTTATGGACACCCTGTATATATATAGATATCACTTACACTATTTACATGTGGACTATTCTCCTCATTGTTGTTTTTGTTATCACAAGTGTAAGTCGAATTGAACCCGTTCTTTAATCTGTGGAATGATCTCTTTCCTTTGTTCATATATCGGGATATCTCCTCTGGTTCTTATTCTTAGTACTGCCCCCCGCCCCCGTTTCCACTCTAGTCCAAGTCCACACTGCCCGGCCCAAGGATTAAACTCACAATTACTTTTTCAACAAATTTCCGAACCAACGCTTTAATCCACTAGGCGATTGTCCCGTGGGACAATTCTCCGTGGAGAACTTGGAGCTCTAAACCTAATCTGCCTACTGATGAGTGCTGCTGCCACTGCTGAAGACTTTTAGTCATTTGTCTTTCTTTCTTTATCAGCGGCTCCCATATCATATTTATTTCTATGCTAAGCCAACTAAGAAGGTCCTCATAGCCTAAATGTCTGTAGGTGACCCGCATCGAAATACATGAAAGATGAGGACAGTAGCCGCATGTAAATCGTGTAAAGAATGATAACCTCTCATTCTATAAATTCAAACAGAAGTAAACAAATTTCTTGTTTGTTCATCAAATAAAAAGATTTCTGCAAGAATATTTAATATTAATTAATATATTTTTCCATATAAAAAGATGTCAATTACCTTCATCTATGGATTTCTTGTATTTCGATAATGTCTTTTAAATTAAAAGACATTATCGAAACTTGGAATTCTGGTTAGTATTACGATTAGTAAAAAAATATCAACAATAAATCATAGATCCTTCTTAGTGAATGATTTTAGAATTAAAATGAATTTACCGGGATATATTACCATCTTAATTAATTTAAAAGAATTGTTCAGAAAGAAAATTACAATTTAAATAAGCGCTACTGAAATTAGCCCTTCTACTCACCTCCCCAGTATGTATGGGGCCCCCCACGCGGTTGAGAGTTTCGGGCTACCGGCTCTGTTGATTATTACAGTCGATGATTGACACTATAACTTAAGTAGAAAAAAATTAAAAAGTACACCCCCCTCCCCCCAAAAAACCCCCAAAAACAAAAAACAAAAACAAAACAACGCTGTTGAAACTAGCCCCCTTTGGGGACCCAACCTCGTCGGGGATTCCTGCGTAGTACGCACTGCACCGGCCATGCAGATACACAATGTATATTATTAGTTGATGACTGACAATGTAACGTCATTTAATAATAATAATAATAATAATAATAAATAGCGGATGGCCATAAAACAGTGCAGAAAAAAAAAAGAAAAAAAAGAAGTGAGAGAGCGCAACGGACAGCCTCGGTCGGAGGTTTCGGATGTAAGACGCGCCAACCCTGGTTTTCTATTTAGTTACAAGTAGTCTGTGATATAAAGTGATTTTTCGATATAAAGAGATACCAATTAGCTTCTTCTGTTGATTTCTTGTATTCCGATAATGTCTTTTAAATTAAAAGACATTATCGAAACTGCACTTTCTGGATTGTTGATCAAATTCCTTTGATCTTTTTTATATGCAGAAGACATTGTTAATAAAAGATTGATTAACTACAAGACTTTTTCCATTACTCCCCTTTCTCCATCCTTTCTATATAAAGATATTTGTTAAACATATTTTGATTAGATACAAGCATTTTTTCAGAGATCATCTCATCATTTCTATATAAAGCTAATATTGTTTGTTAATCAAATTTTGATTACCTCCAAGCGTGATTTTAGAGTTCCATTCATCATTTCCCTACAAAGAAAATATTCTTTTCTAATTATCTATTGATTACCTACAAGCATGTTTTAGCGTTCATTTCATCCTTTCTATATAAAGCTAATATTGCTTATTAATCAACTTTTGATTAGCTATAGACATGGTTTTTTTAACGTTCCTTTCAACTTTTCCATAAGAGGACACGTTTGTTAATCAAATATTGATTTGTTTCAAAATGTTTTTCATCAATTCAATATGAAGATATTGTTTTTTGATCAAACATTGGTCAAATTTAACCATTGGCTAAATTTGACCATTAAATCTGATCTCCTTTTCATATAAAAATAATGATTGATTTTAATGAAATACTGATCACAACATGGCATGTTCTTTTTTATTTAGACTTCTTTCCTCCTTTCTAAATAGATAGAATGCTTATTAACCATGCTTTGGTTAACTGCAGACATGTTTACCAATATTTCTTACATAATTTCTATATGGAGATAATATTGTTTCCTAATCAAATATTTATTTGGATCTCCACACAATTGGTTTAGATCCCCCACAGAGTGAAATGGTCTGAAAATAATTTTTCCAGTGTTTGAAGCGACTCATGTTTTATGACAACCAACGGTAAAGTCTTGATGTGAGAACTTCAAAGCAATCACGCGCTGTCCAAATGGTAATATTAATTGTTTGGTAATAGTAATGGTAATATTAGTCGTTTCCTTATGAGGAAACATTCGGCATTCATTGACCAACTAACGCGTAACTCGAGTAGCCAGTGCTACTAGAGTTACGCTTTTCTTCGCTCCCTGACCATCGGGCTGGGATCAAAGTGTAGTATCTGTTCTCCTCATCTCTAATTGTAATGATAATATTAGCTGTTTCCTTATAAGGAAACATTCGGCATTCATTGACCGAGCAGCCAGTGCTACTCTCAGTTGAAATTTATAAAATCTTTCTCTTAAAACAATTTTCCAGGAAAATAGCTTTCTCAAGTCCAGTAGCTGTTATCACTCTTTCCAATATTGATGGGGGTTTCCTTCCTAACCTTTTATTTCAAGTCGTGTGGAAGGTCAACATCTTAATTATGTCATTATGTGATATTCATTTTAGTTGTTGTTGCATGTCCTCAAGTGATATTGTTTTTGTCATCTCGCACAGTTCTTTGTTTGCGATTGTATAGTGCCAGTCCACAATCTTCAAAGAAGAATAGTCTTTGGCAAAACCCACAGATTTCACTCGTTCAAAGACATTTTAACGATAGATTTGAGAAAGCGGTTGTATATAGTTGACAGTTTAGATATTTCTGAACGGGTTTGGCATCCCATATGACATCCATATTAAAGGATTCGATCTGACCACGGCGCCTTAATACGTGATAAACCCCATTTTCTGGGATGCGTTTCATAAAGTTAAGAAACTTGTTATTGAATTCAGGAAGAAAGGAAGCTATTTTCAAAAGTTCACTCTCAATATTTAGTAACGGAGATGATATTATGTCGATGCACCTCTTGCATACAGATAGCATCAAGGTTAAATTTCTTGCGTTCTTCTAAAATGAAGTGCATCTTAAAATCCGGACGTTGATTTCTCCTATTTTCCACTTGAAGAACTTTTTCATGTTTTGATTTTGTAGTTGATTATTTAGTTGTTGATAGTATAGATGGCTGACTAGAGTTTTCATTATAATGTTAGTCTAGGGAAAAAAAAGTGAAAATAAGATGAACAGGTAAAAACCGAATTAAATAGAAGATAGCGAATTCCGATCGTGGATATTCAGGCCGCATTCGAAAATGGCCAGTAAAGAAGCCGTCGATGGAAATGTAGAGTCACAGGCAGCCAGAGTGAGAGGGGGTGACAAGCCCCTCCCCCGTTGACATGTTGAGAGAGAAAGAGAGAGAGAGAGAGTTGCGGTCAAAGATGGGCATAGGAACAGTCGGTGGCTTGTTGGCCGAAAGGAAGATTTGGTCCTTGACAGAAGTAACAACAAAGATGTCCCAAGTATCACTTAACTCTGCGTCCATATCGTCACAGGTGAATCCATGAATAAACAACATTAAATTGAAAACAGGATTGGTATTTTCTTTTCTCGAAGTGTCAGTATCCCAAGATGGTCGTATGTCTACTACCTCCAAGACTATGGCGACTTTCATGCTTTCTATATGAAGATATCATTTTTTTTTATATAAAAAGGATGAAGACATGATGACCATTTGTAAATCACGTTTTTAACGTGGATGTGAATAAGCATTCGAATATTAATGAAATCCTTAGCATTTTCTCTTTAATCAAATTTCGAATCGTGCCCACACATTTCCAGGAAGGAGGGGCTTATATTCACCCAATCTGTACAGCCGGGATGAATATAAATCATCCCGTGGCCGTAATTTAAATTTATTTCCTCGTAAATGAAAAAAATATATAAAGAAAATAACATAGAAGGCAAACGTACAAAATTATTTTTAACTACAATGAAACAGATTCATATTTTAGATACAATAAAAAGGATTAACATTTTAAAATTTTAGCCACAATGAAAAAGATTCGCATTTTAAAATTTGTCACAATAAAGCAGATTTGCATTTGAAAATTTTAGCCACAATAAAAAAGATTCGCTATCACAATGCTTTTTAAATGTAGCGTGACTGAGTTAGTCTTTCTTTCTTTCTTTCTTTCTTTCTTTCTTTCTATCTATCTATCTATCTATCTATCTATCTATCTATCTATCTATCTATCCAATTCTATTCATATCTATCTATCTATCTATCTAGCTAGCTAGCTCGTGGTTACAGATAAACCATTCTATTCGATCAGCATTCAAAAGTTCTCTTTATTTTCTTCTTCCAAAAGAACTTGTTGTCACTGTCTTTTCTCTCTTACCAGCAAAACTGTGCAAACGCCACACCTAATTAAACCATTTTTACGACATCTACATAGAAGTGCACTGACCTTCTCCCCGAGAACAAAACTCATTCTGTTAACATCAATTCAGTTTTCATGCGACAAAATGGCGGCATTCCTTTTTCCAGTTCTATTTTTTCTTTTGCTATTTTTGCATTTCCCCATTCTTTCTTTCTTTTTCTTTCTTTCTTTCTTTCTTTCTTTCTTTCTTTCTTTCTTTCTTTTGCATACCTTCATTTATTCTTTTCTTTTTTATATTCATTCATACTATTTAACTTTTCGTTCTATCTTTATTGTTCTAGTTTTTTTTATTTTTAAACACCTTTATTCTTTCTTTCGTTCTTTCTTTCTTTCTTTCTTTCTTTCCAATTCACATTCTTACTTCTCTAGGCTGCAATCTGTAGAATTTGGCAGAGTCATCGCGAAATCCTTCTTTCGCTCAATCACCCTTTTTGTCGCGCGAGTCTGAACGTCGAATTGGAAAGTGGACACTCAAGAATTGATTTTTGCATTTTGTTTGGACTTACAGACACAGACTGCCAACCTACAGCGATAAGCCTTGGGCAGGTTTCTTTTATTTTCTTTCTTTTTTAATTTACTTCTGATTATAATCCCACCTGGGGGCAAAGCTGCCCACAAAATCATTGCCAAGTGCGCGAGCGCACACACACACGTGCGCGCGCGCACACACACACACACACGCGCGCGCACACACACCACTATTCAGACACGTAGACACATACACATACACGAAGATAAACGCGCGTAAATTTAAATGATAATTATAAAAACAAATTAGAATGAAACATCAAAATATTTAAAACTATTTCATATTTAAATACTTCGATTTCCGTTTAGAAACTTTTTATCTGTTTTATAAACTTTAAAGACAAATTGAATTTAGCCTAAACTACAAATTTTCTATGCTATTTGAAGTTTGTTGTATCGATGCTACAGTGTTTGCTGAAAATAATTAATGACCACTTGAATATTCCAGCAATAGTTCAGAATCATTTTGAAACGTGTTTCCGTTTCTAGCACTCTCTTCAACATTCTGTCTCTGTACATTTTTTGGAATGAATTCATTGTTTACGGAACAGTATCTGCATGTAAGCTAAAATATGATGTCTCTTTTGTTTTCAGATTCTTTCACGTCAAGCGTCTGTTAGAAAATTGTTGCATTTGTGTTATTAGGCAGTTGGCCATTCCCAGAAAATTATATAAAAAATTAAATTTGCAAATTCAGCAAAGCTAGTGTTAGATGTCATGTACAAATTACTTGTTAGCTTCGTAAGAAATCTGTCACAAATTTCCCACGTGTTTATAGGTATATATTAAGGGTAGTTTAATCTGACACAAGGACACAGATGTGGGGCGAAGTCTTTACCATACATGTTGTCCATAAAACAAGTTTGTGAACCATTCCTTTATATCGAGGTACCTAGTTTGCAACATTCGGAAAACAGTAAGTCAATAATGAACCAGTAAGTCAATAATTAATTACTGGCACTAATGCCAACAATATCTTCACTACGACTTGAACCAGATTCAGAGGCGTAGCGAGGTGGGTTCAAAGATTGGTGAGGTCCTTCGTCCTCAAAGACAGATGTGAATCGGCGAAAATTTTCGTTTGGCGATAAAAGTTCATCTATAGTTTAATGTAGCTATGAATACTAGTTTTGTAAAGTCAGAATTGTTTTTTTTTTTTGGTATGTAAACCTAAGGAAATCTATAAGTTTTTTTTTCTGTCTCATAGACTAAGGACATTACCACAGATGAATGGTTTTTCAATTAAGTTCCACGACTCTGGACTGAAGAACTAGAATTAATTTAAACTCATTCTTACACTGAACAATAACATTAGTGGATGATATGGATTCTACAACCATTTGCAATTATGTAAGTATATTTAATATATAAGTCTAATCCAGTTAGTTCAAGTTTTAAAATTTATGATATGGGGCTATTATTATTGACTCGGCTTAATTGGCAATTGATTCTTTGTTAATGTCATTCAGAGGAGTCATTAAGTCATAAACCATGTAGTAAAATATTTCATGGTTAACTCAGGTGGATGTGCCAAAATTATGTTCGCTCCCAGGAGCTGAGGACCCTTGTTGCGACACTGGTGCAAGTAGAACCTCAAATATCAAGGTTAACAGACCTGTTCTCGGGTGCAAATATTAGACTTATTCATTACCCCAATGATATACTGTTGTGGAGATGAATGTATAACACCCCCCACATATTTTTCTTTTATTGGACTTTTCGATCTAGGCCAGTTGTTATTAATTTCACTGTCTAATCAATAAAACACACAAAGATAGCACCTCAAATACGTTTACCCACTAAAAATAACATTTATATGAGGTTGTTCAGAAAAATCGTCCGATTTTAGAATAAACCTTTTGTGTTTTAATGTATAATAGCTGCATAAAAATATATTTCTCAATTTCTAATGATTAAAGTGTCCTTTTTGTTAATTTTATATCGATCTTTTTCAAAATTTAGCTTAAAACATTATTTACACCACAACTTGAACATAGAAAAAGAAGTGATGTGTTTATTCTTTTTTTTTTTTTGCATGAATTCAAGGTTTTGACCATAAAGAAAACTGCTGCCAGCATTAACAGAGCATGGATCTAGTTGTGTTTGGAGTGTACGGTACTGGTTTCTGAAGTTCCGCAGTGGGGATATGAGTCTTGAAGAACAAAGGTGATAGAGGACGTTCATCTGCATCCAAAAACACTAGTCGAATGAAAACCACGTCAAAGTGACAGAAAAAATTCTCAGATAATGAGTGTCAGCATTTCAAGAATATCGGACCATCTCAAGAAAATAGTCATGATTAAGAAACTCGATAAATGGGTTCCAAATGAACCCTGGGAAAGTGAAAAGGTAAAACGTTTGGAAGAGTGTTCGATGCTGCATCTGCGAAATTGCAATTATCCTTAGGAGATAACGATATATATATATATATATATATATATATATATATATATATATATGCACATTTCATTGAATACGACAGACAAGGTGTTTTTATTTATTTTTTTATACAATTTCTCATGCGATCTAATAAATTTTTTCTTTTCGGATGATAAATTATATAAAAACTGTCCGAATGTTCTTTTTATCCGAGCGCTTTCGGCTATACATTTAGACATTTTCAAGGATTATATTTTAACTGTTAAATAAGAAATAGTTTGTTGTATGTATGTTTTATAAAATGTTTTCATTTTTCAAAAAACAGTCAAGATGATATGTCCATGTTCAAAGTTAATATTATTAAGTGTTGTTTTTTTTTGTTTTTATTAATAAGGCTTCCATCATGTTTAGAACAATATTGGGGAAGAATGTATGACAAAGTGGAAAAAAGTTTTGCTGTGAATCGAAAGTCCGATGAAGTCCTATAGGATGAAAAGCGTTACAAGAAAACTTTTGAAACTTTGTCAGACGTTTTTTCCACAATTATCCTTATATATAAAATATATAAAAAAATGCAGTTTGTTATTTTGATTTTGGCAAAGGAGACAAAAATGGGATTAGAATCATGTTATATTTTTCTCGAGATGAGAATTTAATCTGAAAAGTTTTTTCTTCCGATAGCTCAAATGGAAGCCTTCAGATCTATCAGTTTTTGATTCTATACTCTACCCATTGAGATGTACTGTCGACTATTTTTTTCTGCTTAAATGTTCGCGGCGCTGTGTTTGTCAATGTCATAGTGTGCGACAATGCGTGTTTGAAATGAGATATTTGTTGAACGATTTGGCACGACTTCATTCTCTTGGAGAGGGAAACCATTTTATTTGCAATCGCTTGCGAGATTTCTTCTCTCTTGACTGGGTTTATTTTAATGCGATTGATTACTACAAAGTTAAACAGAAGCTTTTTATTAAAAGGTTATGACGCTGGCCAACTTTCCTAGCGTCAGCAGATTTATACGAACATGCCAGTGCTTTTTTTGTTCGTGCGCCGGTAATCTCGCGTGGCCAAAAACATTTGTTCACACTTGGCTAGCAGCGCCACCTGGCGGATATGTCGCGATTAATAACGGTGAATGTGGGTGAGACTAAAATAAGAAAACGTATTTATAGCAAAAAGTAAACAAAAAAAAAAAAAAGAATAAGAAAAATGTAAAACACAAAGGATGTAAGCAGGCGTCTTGTCAAAAGGATGATGCTAGAATTGAGATGTCGTGTGGTATCATGTTTTTAAGTCATTTGCAGAAGAGGCGGGAATCCACAACGAGGCTGAGTTGATGGCCGGCCATTGATGAATGGCAAGGGAAATAAATTACCTCGAGAAGATGGCGTAAATCAGAATCTTTTGTTACATCCATGCACACACACACACAGACGCGTAAATACACACACGCGCGCGTGAAATCTCTTTCTCTCTCTTTCTTTCTCACTATCGCTATCACTCACTTATTAACATTTGCATACAGTATACACTTTAAACGTATCGACAGTTCGTTAATGGCAGCTATGCTAATTATCTGAAAGTTTTTTTTAAAAGTTCCCTAATAAGGAATGACCATTACTATAATGTTTAGTATAAAAACCCTTAAAAATCAGTTCCCGTATGATCACTAACGTTAAGCAACGTCAAACCTGGTCAGTAGGTATATGGGTGACTGCTTGGGAATACCAGGTGCTATAAACTTGGATGTGTGGGTGGTGTAATGAAAAATGCTTCGGAATTGTTAATAGGAGAGCCGAGTTCCAGTTCCCGTTGAGTTGATTATATTCACTTATGAGCAAATACCGTTGGGAAAGGCATGAATCCAACTCTTCTCCTCCCAGCTATAGGTTAAATAATAAAACTTGTATCACTAAGCCATTATTATCTAAAAAACTTATTTCAATCTAA